TAATCTCTAGCTTCCGCTAACTGTCGTACGCACATTCACGAGAGAGTGGTGTCCAGTGGATGACGTAGGACGTAGGCCAACGCGGTGACGAACACGGAAGTGATGAATGTGGAAGCGCAGAGGAGAGAGCAAAACAAAACACTGGTCACTAATTAGTAGTACAAAACGAGGATTTGTAAAGAAAAATGTTGGAGGATTTCAATATAAGCCAAGAGGACACTGGTTTTCCTTTGCTGTAAACAAAACTTGTGTTCTCACCGGAATTTACGCTACGCCTACGTCATACATCATCCGCTGGACGCCACTCTCTTGTAAATGCGCATACGACAGTTAGCGGAAATTAGAGATTAAGGTTTATAAAGTTGTAAATATGGATATTTTTCTTACACAAATGCATCGCTTTGCTTCGGAAGGCCTTTATTAACCCCACTGAGCCATGTGGATTTCTTTTATAATGGATGGGTGCAATTTTTTAGACTTTGAATTTTGGGCTACCATCCACTCCTATTATAAAGCATGGATTAGCCTGAACATTATTTAATAAAACTCTGATTGTATTCGTCTGAAAGAAGAAAGTCATATACATCTAGGGTGGCTTGAGGGTAAGTAAATCATGGGGTAATTTTCATTTTTGGGTGAACTAACCCTTTAATGCCGATGCATCACAACAGTCAAAGACACTCATCTAATGTATGTATATACAGCAATAACTTATATGTGAACGGCCCCAAAGACAAAGCAAGGCAGATAGAATAGATGTACGGAGGGCGTGATAAAGAGAGAACATCTCATGAATTGATCGTGAGCTTGGGAGGCGAGCCAGGAATGTCCAGCTGGGCCCATTGGATGGAGCCAGAGCAGAAAGGCAAATGAAAGATGACTTTTGAAAGACAGGCTGTGCATCATTACAATGCTACTCTACAAGACCTATCGCTCCGTGGATATCCCTAGCACAGTCTTAATGGCACACTGTCCATTTTATGTGCGGCCAATTTGGAGATGTGCCTCCTCCCACATCCCCCGTAGGTGGAAATAGCCCACCTCCCACTGATTCCTGAAAGAGAAAGTGGAGAGTTAAATAGAGGGACACATGAGGGAGAGAGTGTGCATTCCATCTTAAAATGCTAAAGGCGTGTCTATTGTGTGAATGTGACCCATTGCTCAGAGGCAAGGCATCATGGGAGATGAGTAGATTCATCTCTCGCAGCTCAGAGCACTGACAGATTACAGGTTGGATTTGAGAGACAGAATGGAAGGGGGAGTCGAGTGAGAAAAAGCAGGGGAGAGAATTTCAGGTGTGAGGTGATGACA